GGTGTGGTCCCCCAAAAATTATTCCTACGCTGCAAATACCCTTGCGATCACAACGCTTCTTACTCGGTCCCTCTTGATTTTTCTCCCGCACGGGAGCAGAGACATCTACATACTCTTTGAAGTGCCCCTACTTAATGAGGTCTTCAATTGCTTGCTTAAAGGCCCGACACTCATCGGTGTGATGCCCATTATCCCGATGGTAGCAATAGTGTTAGTGTATATTAGTGTATGCCCTAGAAACCATTCGTGTTGTCGGTTTCAAAGCATTTTGTCTTGTATCTATATATATCATAAATAATAGAAGAAAGAGTTCTTCAATTCATATATGTAAATTGCTTCCTTTATTCAGTCATGCATTTAAAATAAAGTATGTATATGAATTGTCCAGATGATTCATTTAATAGGTAAATGAATTATCGAAAAGGGTTCCCTACGGAAGCAATATAAATTTGGGCAACTATATTGTACAGTAGGCATACTGAATGCTTCCGAAAGATATCATGAGTTGATATAAGTACGGATGACAATGATAGTCATGTCACTGGGGCATTGGTATGGATTAACGGTTGGTGAACTGTTTTTCGAACGTGACCGAATAACGACAAATCACTTGGAAAAGCATGTAGTCAATGATTTATCGTTTGGTTATATCAGTGCACGATGTAGTCCTTTGACCTGAGACATTGTAGTCGGATCCGATATGGATGCGTATGGTTCATACGGTGTATAAGTACGAGACTAATCATGTTTCGTACAATAAAGCCTATTTGGTCATGCGTTGTTCATATGCGGAAACGAACGATGGTCAAGAGGGGATCCATTGACTCGGAAATATAGGATCGGGAGTACCGCTGACTCCATCCGGATTCGAGTTCCTAGACGAACATCGATAAATGTCGGAAAACTGAATCTCTGGCCAGAGTCTATTATTAGTCATACAAAAGTAAGTTTGTGATGACAAGTTCCGGACATATTGATCGACAATTCGGTAGAAGATCGAGTTTAGGATTTTGACGTTCCATGAATCCATACTCGATTAGGATATCTCAATGGAGGGACTTTACCTGCATGGTACGTATGATCTGAAATGGGTTCGATGAAGTATTTCTTCATCGTGGTTTAGGGACTATGGCACATTGCTAGATGTTTACCATAGTCGTTGGGCCTCCGGACGGGTTTCCGGATTCATCCAGAACCGGCTCACGGCTAATCCACGGTGGACCTACATGGTCACACCAATAGCCTTGGGAAGTTAGAGAAGGATGAGAGAGAGAAATGATTATCCGAAGAGGGCTAGCACCTTCCGAGGGTAATAACGGGATTTCTATAGTAATAGTTACATAGAAAACAATTTGTGACATTTTAAGGGTTAAAATGGTCAAGCAATAATTAATTATATTTAATTATTATATCTTAAAGTGTTAAGATTAATGAGATGAACAAAAATAACCTTTTAATAGTTAAAGGGTAAAAAGGGTAAATTTATGGGTTGTTAATGTAAACTAGTTTAGTTTACATGGGCCCTTGAATAATATTGATTATTCAAAGGGTAGCATATTAAATTCGTGGGGTCCCTTTATAAAATAAGATTTTATTGGGCTTGGAAGTGAAAAATAAATAATTGCAAAATAGCCCAAGTATATATAAGTGCAAAATGTTGCATTTTTGTTCATTATTCACTTGTTCACTCAAACACAAACTAAAAGCTCTCTCTCCCTAGCCACGATCACTCTCTAATCCTCTCAAGGTGGTGTTAAAGTGTGGAGGTTTCATCCTTTTGAAGCTAATCTTCATCAATCCAAAGCAAATGAGTAGGTATAATCTCATATCCAAGCTTTGCATGTAAACCCTTTTTTTTAATCCATGCTTTCATGCTTTCATTCTCCATCTCCACCACTCTTCATGCATGCTGAATATTTCAAATAGTACTTTTTACTGTTTCTGGCTAAAGGGGGATTTTTCATGGACTCAGGCTCCCCGAGCAGACTGGCCTCTTCAGACTTATCAAGAATAGCAGAGACAGATGCATTCAGAGGGGTGTACTGACTCTTGTCACGATCGTGACGAGGGACTGGGGCGTAAGATTTCTTGGGCACATATCGCTGCTTCTTTCCTTTCCGTTGATCATCATTAGCTCATTTACGATCAACCCTCCTATTTTCCTCCCGACCAGGCGCACTGCCTGAAGGACCGGGGTCATGGCAACTGAGCGTCGCCACGAAATTCTCAATACGTAGGTATTTTTCCATTAGGTTGTAGAAGCGGGTGAGGGAAACATCGTCTTTAGATTGCAGCACTTTCCACAGGTCTGTCTGTGGACGAACTCCCGCGATGATGAGAGTCCGAACGGACTCTTCGGGAGTGTGAGCTACTTTATAGAGCTCCCGATGGAACCTATCAATATAGGATTAGAGGGGCTCATCCCTCTCTTGCCTTATGTTGATGAGATAGCTCAAAGGCATTGAGAACTTCCTGTTCGCTTGGAAGTGTCTCAAAAATGTCGAGCTTATCTGAGTCCACGAGCTGACGGATCTCGTTGGGAGCGACCTGAACCATCGCTTGGCATGAGAAGTCAGAGTGACTGCCAAGCAACGACATTTTGCCAAGTCAGAGACTTGGTGGAGTTCCATCATGTCGTTGAATTCGTATAGATGATCTTGTGGATAAGAATTTCCATCGAATGCTTGCATATCGGACATTTTGAATCTGTATGGAAGAGGGGCGGCTAACACCGTCGGAAAAAAGGGAGACGCCTCTGCGACCTGCCCTTCCTCATTTTGCTGAGCCTTTAACTGATCCAGGGCTCGTTGCAATTCCTCAATCTGAGGCAGCGGAGCCATCTGGGGATTGCTTTCCCCAAAGCGGGTTCGACCCTCGCGGTTGCGGTTAAGGAAAGTCTGTAAGTAGGATTCCTCCTCGCCTCGGCTGGCAGTTCCGGTTGCTCTCGACACACACTGGGTAGAGTCATGTGATGGCGCTGAATGGTCCAGGGAACCTTCCTGACCCCCGCGGTGGTGCGAACTGATCCGTGGACGGTGGGAACTTCCCGCACAACGACTATCAGAGTCGTCATTTTGGCGATAATGGGAATCTCCCCGCCTTGCACTTTTGTGGGAATGCTCACGCGATGTGGCACGGGACAGCTTGGGCCGTGACATGTCACCGAGTCTTTGCACCACGGGTATTCTATCAGGGGTGCGGTTAATGTTTGCTGGTCCCTCAGAACCTCTAGGCCCGTTGTTCGCCACCTGTTTTCCCTTTATTTGACGCACTGTAGTGCGCGCAGCACGGGCTATTGCCCTTTTTTGCGCTTTCATGTGACTTGCAGGCATTTTTTACGATGGCACCGCCTCATTTGATTTGGGTGGCATGACCTAATCCAAGCGGTCCAGCCTTTAGCTGATCGTTTTGAGAGTATTGTTGAACCTCTCCAGGTAGTTCATGACGGCTAGATCAAGCCGTGAGCTTGAAAGGATATCCCCCACGAGATTTTACGGAACCGGGGGAATTTCGGAAGAAGTGTCCTCTTGTACCTGGGGGATCTCTTCCTCACCGCGATTGGTTCGCTCAGATTCAACTTGGCGAGCCATTTGCTGTAGTGGAACCGATTAGTCAGAGATTCTCCTGATGAAGAATAAGTACTAAATCAGGCCCTCCTTTTAGCACCAAACTGTTGATGCTTGATTTTGACACCAACTAATCGCACGTGTGAAATGCTGAGCTGACTCAGAAGACACACATGTGTATGGGGGGATTAAACTAATTAAGAGAACAAGAATAATGTTTAAAGTGGTTCGGATGCTTAAACAAGCGAATCCTACGTCCACTGATATTGTATTAATATATGAGATCAGGTTGCGTTCAGCGACCTGATTTATAGTCTAGAGAATACAAGTGAATACACTAGAGAGAGAGAGAGAGAGAGAGAGAGAGAGAGAGAGAGAGAGAATGTATGCTATTTTATAGAAAAATTAGTTAATCCCACAAACGGGAGAGGAGCCCTCTATTTATAGTGGGATGAATTGAGGTAATAAATTTGCAAGTGGGCTAGGCTGCTATGCAAATCCTTCTTTGTGTCCCGTTATTCACCTGCTCGAGAGATTTCCTCGACTTGCGCAGGGATTGAACATGTGGAACGTTTCCAGCCTTTCGCCAGCTTGGCACACACCCATTACACTGATAGGAGCAGACTGCTCATGTCAGAATGTGACGTGATTGCGTTTGAACCGCTGCAGAACCTACCTAAGTTCTGACTGCCCACGCTGACAAAGTTTGGCGTCAACCCTACTTTTTTAGGCATAACAGAAACAACCTTTCTTTTGTAAGATATTTTTATATTAAATAAAAATGCATTATTCAATAAATCCCCCAACATTTCAAGATTTTCAAACCTCCATTGGTTTCAAATATTGTACCATACCTCCATTCCGTTAGCTTTTAATAAAATTTTATTCACATTTTTAGACGGAAAAGGGGTTATGATTAATTTATCAAACTAGCGGGTGAACAAAACATTCGGAGGTTTATCGAAGTTGTACATCAGTGGGACTTAATATATTAAATTTGTGTTAATTAAGTACGAATCTATAGTATATAAAATGGGTATGAAAAAAAATGTGGAAGAAATATATAAAGCATCATTAAAACATAATATATGAGTGGTCACATTTAATTAACTATATATTATTTTGATTATAACCAATTATCCAGATTTAAGTATGATGAGAATTTAAATAATCATCATTATTTAATTTCATTACTTAAGAATTTAATTCACTCACTAATAATATAATTGGATTGGAATTTAAATTATATCCTCTTTAAAATTACTTCCATTTCATTGGATATTTAGATTTCACTCCAACATTAGATTAGAGTACTTAAAAGATTAAAAGCTAATAAATTTCATCCATGTGGCTCCACAAATGATTTTAAAAGCCATCTCTATCTTACACGTGGCTATCCATTTCCGTGAATCTTTTAGACTTTTCATTCAGTTAATCAACTATCTGGCTTTCACTTGCTTAGTTGCTGAGCTTCTCCTCCGTCCACTTTTCACTTCCTTCTCTCACTTCAATCACTCACTCACTCGTTTTTATAACTCGCCGCCGACTCAGTCCCTCCACTGTTTCATGCCACAGCTTTCCTCCTTTCTGATTAGCTGACCATGAAACCATCTCGACCGTTAATCACAAGACCCATCAAACCACCACCACCACCACCACCATCCTTATACTTAACCAGAACCTGCAAATTGAATCCAAATGTGAACCGGGTCTTTGATTCCCGGCCTCTTTGTAGCAAATTCCCAGTGACCTTGATGACCAAAAGCTCAAGAAATGAAGCTCCTTTGCCCGCATCGACACACTCTTCATCACCAGTAATTTCGTCCAACATGGGGAGGCTAGAAGCTCTAGAGGAGAACATAGAGAAGGTGGTCATTTACTTGGTTTCTGGTATTATTTTTTGACCTTTGTAATTATATCGTTTAGGGTACTAATAATTTTGTTTTTACAGGTTATTTATCGATTTCGGTTCATGGCGCTTCTCGGTGTGTTTGGGTCTTTGATTGGTTCATTTCTCTGTTTCATCAAGGTAATTTTTTTTTTTTTTTTAAACACCCAAGATTGTTTCAAGGTCCTATAAGTGTTTTTTTTTCAATAGATATACCAATTTATGCCATAAATCTTATCAATAAAATAAAAGATAAACCGATTATTTAATTGAAAGAATAGAACCAGAGTGACTAGCAGATAAAATGAAAACTCTAATAAATTTTGTTGCAAAGTTGTGAAAAAATGTATTTAATAAATATTTGGTATTAGAATGGCTAAAAATTTAAATTTCTTACTAGTGATGATGACAAAGATTTGGATATATTCTTTCAGTGGCATCATAGATACGCGGATTTCATTTCATTGTAATAATTTTTTAATGATTGTTATATTATGCTGCTAATAGCTACTAGTGTTCTACTTCTAAACTTTGATTGTATCCCTGTTGTGCGAGTTCTGCATCTTAGAGTTAGTGGGGATTATTTGGGTTGAGTTATGCAAGTTTTAAGCTAGACTGCTAGAGACAGACATATGTAAAATTGTTGTCTCGTCATGAACCACATAAGCCTTGTGAACTCTCTGTTATTTTTTGTTATTAATATATTTTATCTTTTTCACTTGTCTTTAAATTTAATATATCATTAGAAAGATAGCTTGACTTACTACTGATATCGATGCTATGATAACTTTGTGTAGTGTAGGAACCGTTTTGCAGTTGATTGGTAACTGTTTCTGTTCAACTAATAGAAAATTTATAGCAAATCTTCCTAAACTAACAACTACCACATCTAGCCTAAGCTAATGACACATCAGTTTGTGTTTCTTCAAGATTACATCCATCATTAGGCTGAGTTATGAGGCTAGCTATATGTAATGGTGCATAATTCAACAATAACGAGAATATATAGATATTCAACGGTTTGCCTTTTTATGTTGAGCTTTGCTGTCAAGAAATGATATGTTTATCAAGGACAGCTCAAATGAAGGCTTCAAAATGGATGAATGGTATGAAAAGGAAAGATAGAGTTTACCATTCAAGCACTTATTTGATAGAGCTTCATCGTTGTAGCTTTTCACGACCCTAATTTCTAAAGGTTTCTATATTATATAATTTCAGTTGGATTCTATGCAAAAATGGAACTTGGAATATGGGAAATTAATAATATTGGTGAACTAGTGGATTATCTTCGATTTACTGCAAATATACATTGATGCATATATTTCATAATTTTTTATCTGTAATCAATCGGGTTTCTCATCAACGTATTGATTTATGCTGTTGACCCACCTCAACATGCAGGGTTGCAACTTTGTTGCGTCATCTTTCATGGAATATTTTGTGAATCGTGGCAAAGTGATTTTATTGCTAGTCGAGGCTATTGGTGAGTGTTTTTGATTTATTATTTGTATCAATGCTGTTATTGTGTTTACTTCTCTTATTAAATATGTTTTTAAATTTTTTACTACCATGAAACTATACGATTTGAAATTCTGTTACTTTCTCTTGTATTGAAGTTTCTTCTATATATCTTATAAATATATTAAATTTAAAATTTTGTCCTTAGAAACCCAGAAGATAAAATAACTTTTAATCAACAGCACAATGATTGCATGATGTGGATAGTGGGCAGTATAAAATTTGAGTTTTAAAGTAATGAATCTGTTATCTGTGTGAGTCAGAAATAATTAAACAACAATCACAATTAATTTACAGTAGATGTTACCTCATTTTAGTTGGCTATAGATCTTAAAAGCATTATCGTGCTTCTATTTTTGTCTTAATAGGATAATATACATATAAGTGAGATGCAATATTAATCTAGGATTTATTTCTAAAGTCCAACTTGGTACTGAGACCCCAATGCAAGTCCGGCAATAAATTAAGGTAGTTGAAATCAGTTTTGATGTCAAGATAATTGTGTGTCAACACTGTCACTGCTGCAGCAAGTACCGGGAACTTGCTGTTGGCCAGTGAAAGCATGCCAAAAGTGTAGTATTACCAGGAGAAGAAACTATGAGATCCCAAAACCCACACAATCAACATCTCATAATTTCCTGGTACAGAATAGGTACAAGCTGCAAAGTCAATGGCCTTGCAGCTAACTAGAAGAAATGTGCTGTAACTGCAGCATTGAAAGAGAAACTACGATCTCCTTACATCATTATGATATCACTTCCTTGCTTAAGCTGTTACAGGTGGGATGTCTGGAGGCATTTTCTCACTTTGGTTTCTTAGCATATTAAAACTTTAAGAACTGTATGCAGTGTAAACAAAATCATTGCTTCTCCATATCCTGGATCTGAAATTTCCTTGTTTATTATTTTACTACAGTAGCAAGGCATGATTTTGGGAGGGTTACGCCAGAGATAAATGAATGAGTTGAATTTTTATTTTTTTTATTACTGTTGTTCTTTTCTTTATTGCTTGAGGCATTTTGCCTAGGGCAATTTAGATCTATGTCTGCTTTGAGGCACTTTTGAGACAACGGAACTGGCCTAGAATGAGAATATTTTGGTGGAGAATGTTGAAGATTTTCATAGCTTCTCTAGAAACCATAATTTAGCAGTTCTTGGCAATTATCACTGAATTTAATTATAGTTGAATTTCACTTTTTTTTTTTTATTCACACAATTGTTCAAGTATAAACTGATACCAACTTCAGTAATTATAACTTATGAAAGCAACTATAGATGCATCATATATGATACATTCTCCAACTAAAGTTTGAGAAAGTCACAGGCCTTGCTAAAATTGGCAAATCCATTACCTCCACGAGATAATGTCGCTTACCAAGGAAGTCCGACATATTCATATCCTGTTGTTTGAGATGAACTAAGTTGGACACAACATAATATAAACGTTGAATGTCATTTGTATAGAGAAGTTTAGCCTGACTCCAAATATCAACACAAGAGCGGTAAGATTTGTAAATAGGGTGGAGGGGGGGATCAATAGTTTGCCATAACATACTACACAACAGAGCATCAATTTTACTCCAGGAAGACTTATCTGAAGTAATATCGGCAACCTTGGTGGTCAAGTGATCCTCCAGACCTTGACCCATATACCATAATTCGACAGAGGCAGCCCAGGATGAATAATTAGCATTCCCAATTAATTTCTCAGTGGTGATGGGCGGGAGAGATAAAAAAGAAAAATCACTTGGATGTGACTAAGAGGCTGATTTAGGGGGATCCATGAAGAAGATCAGAGTGTCTTGAAGCTGGCAGAAAAGCAGAAGCTCACGCTCGTCGGAAAAACAGAACGCTTGTCGGAAAAAGAGATCGGAGTAGAAACTGACGGAAATTCCTTGAAGGGTTTTGCCGGCGAGGTGGAGAGGAATAAGATGTTGGTGGCGGTGAGAGCTCACGCTCGTCGGAAAAGTAGATCGGAGCAGAGGCTATCGGAAACTCGATCGGCACGTGAGGGCGCGTGCAGCGGCGGCCGACGACGAAACCACTTGGGTTATGACAACGATGAGGAGACGATCAGTTTGGTATGATTAGACCAGATCTTGATCGTTGCTGGAGAGCGGTTGCCCAAAAAAAAAAAAAAAAAAAACCGAGAAAGAGAGAAAAAAAAAATAAAATTAGAACTTTAGAGACCTAACTCTGATACCATGTGAAGAAATACTTTGTTTTATTACTTATTTCACAATGAAATGTACAATGAATTTATAGCAAAAAACAAAAACTAATCTAGGAAGTAAATTGTCACATTCCTATTATAACTGATCTAATTCTTAATAGTTTTGATCCTAATCTAATATAGAAGATAGTCTTTAATGAGAATAATCATATTTCCTATTTTACAATGAGAGTAATCTTATTTCCTATTTTACACTTCAACACCATTCAAGCACTTATTTGATAGAGCTTCATTGTTGTAGCTTTTCACGACCCTAATTTCTAAAGGTTTCTATATTATATAATTTCAATTGGATTCTATGCAAAAATGGAACTTGGAATATGGGAAATTAATAATATTGGTGAACTAGTGGATTATCTTCGATTTACTGCAAATATACATTGCTGCATATATTTCATAATTTTTTATCTGTAATCAATCGGGTTTCTCATCGACGTATTGATTTATGCTGTTGACCCACCTCAACATGCAGGGTTGCAACTTTGTTGTGTCGTCTTTCATGGAATATTTTGTGAATCGTGGCAAAGTGATTTTATTGCTAGTCGAGGCTATTGGTGAGTGTTTTTGATTTATTATTTGTATCAATGCTGTTATTGTGTTTACTTCTCTTATTAAATATGTTTTTAAATTTTTTACTACCATGAAACTATACGATTTGGAATTCTGTTACTTTCTCTTGTATTGAAGTTTCTTCTATATATCTTATAAATATATTAAATTTAAAATTTTGTCCTTAGAAACCCAGAAGATAAAATAACTTTTAATCAACAGCACAATGATTGCATGATGTGGATAGTGGGCAGTATAAAATTTGAGTTTTAAAGTAATGAATCTGTTATCTGTGTGAGTCAGAAATAATTAAACAACAATCACAATTAATTTACAGTAGATGTTACCTCATTTTAGTTGGCTATAGATCTTAAAAGCATTATCGTGCTTCTATTTTTGTCTTAATAGGATAATATACATATAAGTGAGATGCAATATTAATCTAGGATTTATTTCTAAAGTCCAACTTGGTACTGAGACCCCAATGCAAGTCCGGCAATAAATTAAGGTAGTTGAAATCAGTTTTGATGTCAAGATAATTGTGTGTCAACACTGTCACTGCTGCAGCAAGTACCGGGAACTTGCAGTTGGCCAGTGAAAGCATGCCAAAAGTGTAGTATTACCAGGAGATGAAACTATGAGATCCCAAAACCCACATAATCAACATCTCATAATTTCCTTGTACAGAATAGGTACGAGCCGCAAAGTCAATGGCCTTGCAGCTAACTAGCAGAAATGTGCTGTAACTGCAGCATTGAAAGAGAAACTACGATCTCCTTACATCATTATGATATCACTTCCTTGCTTAAGCTGTTACAGGTGGGATGTCTAGAGGCATTTTCTCACTTTGGTTTCTTAGCATAGTAAAACTTTAAGAACTGTATGCAGAGTAAACAAAATCATTGCTTCTCCATATCCTGGATCTGAAATTTCCTTGTTTATTATTTTACTACAGTAGCAAGGCATGATTTTGGGAGGGTTACGCCAGAGATAAATGAATGAGTTGAATTCTTATTTTTTTTATTACCGTTGTTCTTTTCTTTATTGCTTGAGGCATTTTGCCTAGGGCAATTTAGATCTATGTCTGCTTTGAGGCACTTTTGAGACAACGGAACTGGCCTAGAATGAGAATATTTTGGTGGAGAATGTTGAAGATTTTCATAGCTTCTCTAGAAACCATAATTTAGCAGTTCTTGGCAATTATCACTGAATTTAATTATAGTTGAATTTCACTTTTTTATTTTTATTCACACAATTGTTCAAGTATAAACTGATACCAACTTCAGTAATTATAACTTATGAAAGCAACTATAGATGCATCATATATGATACATTCTCCAACTAAAGTTTGAGAAAGTCACAGGCCTTGCTAAAATTGGCAAATCCATTACCTCCACAACATCACCAAAAAAAATAGTTTACACTTAAGAGGAAGAGGCTTTGGAGGAAGATGCAGCATATGTAGCCCAACAATTTAGCTGCAACATTTATTTTCTGAACTATTAGATTTACTTGGAATGAAGAGATGTGATTCATGTGAATGTTTATTTGTTCATTATGGTAGATGGCATCCCTCTTTAGTTACTGATGTAAATGCTTTTGTTTGGTACTCTTTAACCTTAGTCGCTAACAACCACTTTATTGCACTTCTAGATGTTTATCTTTTAGGAACTGTAATGCTGGTGTTTGGGATGGGTCTCTATGAGCTCTTTGTAAGCAATCTTGACATTGCAAAGTTACTATCAAAAGATGAAGTTCATCACAGATCAAATCTCTTTGGCTTATTCACTCTCAAGGTCAGTTTGTCAATTTATACATTCTTTTACTCGGTTATGCTTTTTTTCAGCGGCAATGCTTGCACCCTGCAAAATGAAATTATTTCTTTCTCTTTTTTCCAGCATTTGATATAGTGCACTTTTTTTCTTATGTACTTTTCACGTCTGAATTTCCAGGAACGGCCGAGGTGGTTAGAAATAAAAACAGTGAATGAATTGAAAACAAAGCTTGGGCATGTGATAGTGATGCTGCTTCTGATAGGACTGTTTGATAAGAGTAAGAAAGCTGTTATAAATTCTCCTGTGGATTTGGTTTGCTTCTCAGCTTCTGTGCTTCTATGCTCTGGTTGCCTCTTTTTGTTGTCTAAGCTTAATGGCCCCAAGTGAAAAAAGCATTGAAATATTAAGAGACAGTGTAGCCATATATATAATCTGTGTATTTGTAAAAAATTATGTATTTGCTTCTTGTATGTTATTATGTTGTATATTTTAATAAGCTAGCCATAATAAACTCAGTGAAATTCTATATATTTTCAACTTCTGTAAACCTTAACTAATTTTGTTAAAGTTACAGTTAAAAGCCTAAATTAATGACCACTTATATATAAAAAAAATGAAATTTATCAGATTGTTTTCTGCAGTTGAAGAATTTGAAGACGAGTCATGAATTTTTGCTACTGTTTTTGGGTTCGGAGATTAGTTAAGAACTTGAAGGGAAAAAAGGTGCCTTAGATGGAGTTCCGTAATAAGGCTTGCTGGAGACCAAATATTGTCAGCAACTCGAATATAATACTAACAATGTAATGTTATTTTCTAGGAGCAGTTCTTGAATAGTCTGTAAAAGTTTAACTTTTGATTGTAGTGGCATTGGCGATTTGGCATGGCATTAGACCAAGTATTGGAAGACATGAGTGGAAGAAGGATAGGCTAGGGTTTCCTGGAAAAATGCAAATTTATTAGTTAATGCGATTGACTAGATAGTTTGACTACTGTGCACCAACCTGTAGCAATGGCCTTTGAATTCAGCACCAAAATATTCTTCTACCACAATAATCAACAGTAAATAATGTTATGTATCTAGAATCTCCAATGTAATTTCATTTTCATTCTCCCAACTTCATCTTGCATATTATTAGGTTCAAAATGTTTAAAGTAAATCGTTCAGAATACAACAAGTACACTATTATTATATAAAGTATGCGTTATTATTTATCAAAATTATTTTATGTGGCATAAATTCATTATCTTGTCATATCTATACTCTTATTTGTGTCAAATATTCTAATTTGAAAAGAGTTTTTCTCCCCTAATTATAAATTTAATGATTGTAACCGCATGAAAAAGTTTTGAGAATGTCATTCTTAAAAAATATATATTTATTTATTTAATACATTTAGTCAATGAATAATAGTGATTATTTATTTATTTATTCGAGGAAGCTAAATCAACATAAACTTGATAGCATTGAAGATGTTGTTATCATTTCTGAACCGTAGTCCAAAGAATGGCGGGCCATATTGATAAAAATCTTTCATATTCTTTTAAATTTTTATAATTTTTTAGGGTCACCACTTTCAAATAAATTATATGAATATATGATTGCTTAGAAAATGATTATTGATCATCATCAAGATCGGATTCTGGACAACAAAAGCTTATCTAATTATTCTAATTTACAGATTTAATTAAAGTATTTGTCAAACAAAGGGACAGTGGTGCACTAGTCTTGACTAATTCTTAATGAATTCAAAAAAGGCGAGGGTTATTGACCAAAGGTTAAAGTATTGGGTTATGTCCTAAGAATGCTGTGATTTTCTTGAAATAACGTAGACAATTATTAAATAAATAAAAATATTTTATCTATAATATAGATAAAACATTTTATTTATTGTCATCATATATCTCCCTTTGCTATACATGTGTATATGTATATTCGCCAGCGGTCAAAGGTCCCACAGCTACTAAATAAGATTAAATTCATTTATATGAAGCAGTCATATATGGGAAGGTCATCTCATTTTAGTTGATCCTGGGTATAAGTTTGAGTTAACCGGATTCTTGCAACGACTCCTTAGTTTCGACCCCATCATAAAGGTTAATTGATTTCTAATTCTACGGTCTATCTCTCCATGAAGAGATAGAAGAAGTTAGTGAAACCATTCACGGCAATTTCTTTACAGCCTCATAATTTTTTATGTTGGGAGATTCTTTATTATAATTAATGAAGCTTTAAGAATGATTATTCTTTGGTATCGGGACGCAAAATTATGGAATATATAGTGAAAATAACGTCCAAATTGGTCATGTATACTAGAGTACTATTTATAAAAACGTTACACTGTTAACTTACTAGTAAATAGTACAATCATGGAATGTCAGTTTATAACATTGAATAAATTACGTACTAAATCAATTATGTCATAACACAATGTATTTATGCCATCTATTTATATTCTCATCAATGTTGTTGGTTGCTATTAAATTGAAAATATGTATTAATTGATACCCTTACAATATCATAGATTATCACAATATGTATAACATTAGAGAATTGATCATAGTGTTGAGTCTGTTGACATTTCATGTTCAAGGACATTAGTTATAACATTCCATTTTGTCATATTAATATGAATTTTAGAGGAATCCTGAAGTGCTTATATTATCAGCTTAATGAAATTATTAGATTGATAATATAATCGGTGGATTGAATTGAATTAAAATACATATGGTTGAATCCAAATAAATATAAAAATTCTAAACATTGGTAAGTTAGTAAATATTATTATTATATATCATAAGATATAATTAATCACTGTATTTTATTGTATTAGGTTATGCAGAACCCAAGAAGCTATAGCTAGTTCTTCACGTATTTAAGAACAATGACCTCCAAGAAAGAGGGGCAAACGCCACATATAATAGCTGCTACTATTGCTTCAGAAGAAGATCTAAGTTCCCAGTAATTTGTTTCAGTAATTATTCATCAAACGTTTAAGTATAAATGAAGGTGAGATAGCTAGGTTTTTTTTTTTTTTTTTTTTTTTATCCAGGCATTCAAATATTAGTTAAGAACATAATCCTTTATTTATTTATTATTATTTTTAATTTAAGTTTCCTTATACGAGCTTCCAAAGCAAATCATATAAGGATACGTTTGATATTAATTATATACGAAAATGAAAGATTTTGATCATAATAAAAGCAGATACATACATGTACAAGTTTTTTAAAAGCTTAAGTTAATTAGGAGATTATTCAAATTGTTTTTATATCATAGATTAAGCTTTAATATATAGATAACCTAAACTTAAAAGAAATCTCTAAAGTTAAAGAGCATGATTCTATATGAAAATTAATAAAAATCTATCAGAAGACAAATACCTTCAATCAAAAGACTGTTAATTAATAATAAACAAAATATGTTTTACACCAATAGAAATCCTATATCATGCACACTTGCATACTACAACCTTCATTTATATTGAAGGAAGCGACGCCAGTAGTAGTATCTTTGAAAAACCCTAGAAGACCGGAACACCCTTTTGAAGCAAATCTTATTTTATTACTTGAGAACAACCTTTCACCATAATCATCTCTAATTATAAGAATAATATTGTAGAGAACCCAACGGGCTGTGACTGAGGGGATGCTTTCAAGAAGCATGTGGTGGTACGTCATGGCCAACACCAGGGCTATGACCAGGACTCGTCGGGCGGAAAGCGTCAGCCTCCGTCTTCTTGTAACGATTTATTGTATAAGAAATGGACGCCGGAGGTTTAACCTTGCTCCACTTGGAGCCTAAAGGAAGAGCTGGTGGGTGAAAATCACCATTACCAACAAGTGGCCTTGTTGCTTCTATCAAGTAAAAGTGTTTGTGGAGAAGAAGGAGAAGAACAACAAAAGAACTTAACGTGAAAATATTGTGTGCCGCCATGAATGAAAAGGTTTAAGGCTTAATCTCACCAAATCAAGAAACTATAGTTACAAACTAATGTAAATTGTTATCAGAAGTGAGAGGGTGAGAGTGGTATTTAAGATGAAAATAAGGTCCCACGTGCAGCCGTATTTTGTTCTCAACATGGAGTAAAATAAGGGTTTATGGTGCACATGGTAGGGTTTATAAGATATTAATGTAATATGAAGGTCAGAAAGCAAGGCATGGGAATAATTTCTAAAAACGGCAAGCCTAGGACTACTTGGTTCATTCCAATCAAGAAAACTTTTGCAACAGCCATTCGTCGGAATGCATATACAACTTTTAAGGAAAGAGCATTCATTTCGATTAGACAACACCAAGAACAACACTCACTCACTTTAAGATTTTCTCTGTTTTATTTAGTACTTTGAGAGAAAGAGACTCAAGTCTGCAACAACAAGATAACATCTAGGTAAGATTTTCTAAAGAAAATGCTTCTTCCACTAAAATTAGTAAGGATTTGATAAGATTATCAAATTTTCTCTTTTGTCTTTCTCAACATATATTGAAATTTTTTTCGCACTTGCACATTTAAATGTTATATTCTGTAAGTTTTCTTAAAATGGAGAGGCTTTCAGACCCAGATATATACATTCTGCTGCCTGCCAACTGTTTCATAGTTAACAATAATATAGTTTTAAAAGAAATAGAAAATAAATCAATCTTAATTTATTCATTAATATATAATATATCGAGTAAGGTTAATCCTACCCTAGATAAATCTTGATGTTAACCAAAGTTTGTGTGCATTAGTGATGAAATTTAGTCCCTTTGATCGACTGTTAGCCTCAATTTCCAACTCAATGGAATCACATGTTCATGTTTATGGCATTGGTTGTGAGAGAGAGAGAGAGAGAGAGAGAGAGATTCCATGAGTGCTCGGGGCTCTTCTCTTCTCTTCTCTTCCCTTACTTTTGTGCACTTTTGTCTCCCTATACATAAAGAGCTTCCTTTTCTGACACTCTTAACATTATAAAATCAATTCCAACAATTTTCAATGCTCTTCAATCACCATCAATCCTTTCTTTTTTGTTTAAGGAAACTCTAACCTCAACCTCAACATTCAATAAATATTTGTATAGTGGCTGAGTTTATAGCCTATACCAAGCTACACCTACAATGAGGATGATGCATGCCTATTATTTATTTATTTATTTTTTTCCCTTTACATGCCTAACCAATCCCAGATCAGGAACCACATCTCATTCAGTGCCATATGATGTAATCAATCCAATGGCAGTAAACAAATGAAGATTAAGTAAGAGATTAATGAAAAGGAAAATGTTTATATCTCCCCTTAAATTAAAGGAAATTGCCCTTTAGGATCTGTAGGCCATGTTTGTTCTAGTGGTAGCCCACCAAAAATCTGAAACTTAGTTCTTCTGAGCTTTCACTTTACAACAAGGAATCATATTCTTTGAAGGGCGAAACTTAAAGTTGAATGCTTCTCATATTTTTGCAATTAGTTTGATAGGTTGACATAAGGGCTAGCTATCTGTTGAACAAAACAGTGACTGGTAAACTAAATTAAACTTTTCTTTCACAATAAAGAAAAGAGTTTTGATATATGAAAGTTTTTGGAGCATAATTAATTTGGATTTTAATGTCAATAAATTGTTTATGATAATATGATGGGGTGTTTGAGCAATAAAACATACATCACAAGAGAAGATCAAAACTCATACATGAATTAGAAACTTCAATTTCTCCCTAAATCAACAAGTTATAGATAAAAGCCAATGGTCTATCAAAAGGGATATGGAACTTGTGATTATATATCTAAAAATTTAAACTGAAGTCTCAAATAAAAATTGCCCGTTTGTTCTTAGATTTTGTCTTCATGCATGATGGGACTGTTTTGAATCAGAATATTTTCAGATTATTTGAGTATTCCTTTTGTCTGCAACTTGATATTTTTTTTTTTAAAGTACGGAACAATTAATCAAGCCGTTTTTCTGCTTGTAAAATGCTTTAAAGATTTTCATGGTACTGCTTGTAATTAAAGAACAAAAGCCAGCAACTGTTGGAGATGCTAATAATATTAGGGTTTTCGTAAAGAGAAAAAAATAATAAAGAAATCTAGTAATGACTCAGCCACCAAACTTCCATTATTCAATTGTCGTCTTCGTATGCTTTGATTGCATTGAGAATATTTTTTAAAAACATATTAACTTGGGAGTCCCTACCAATATCATTTTGGAAAAGAAAAAAAGGATTATAATTAAACACATAGAAGATATTCTTGATTTTATTAATGAGCATAATTGGCAGAAAGATCAAACGGTTGGAGTGAGTGGCAGCTGATGAACCACGCACATGCTTAACCAAAGTTATGTGTAAATGACAAGTGCAAAAAATTCTTGTATTAATAAGCATATATGTCTTAATATTTATGTTTTGATTTGATGATATATACTTCACTAACATATCCATGAAAAGACTAGACATCATAATGGCTAACACTCTGCTACCTTTAAACAAGATAAAGAAAAAAAAAAAAAAAAACAAAAACAAAAAGAAAGAGAAAGAGCTTCTGTTGATTTTGAGAACTTTCTGTGATGAAGACCCGATGATTACATATGACATATTATGTCGACAGATTACATGAAAATCGTCACAAATCTCCAACGACTTTCGTATAATTAAATGATATACCTGAAACCTTGAAAAGCCTCTTGAAAACGGGATGAAAAAATTAGTCCACTTTGCCTCAAAGAGCTTTTGATCGGCTAGCCTCTCTCAGTTTTGGGTTTACAGATGGGATTGTTAATTCAAGCATAAATTTAATTAGCCTTTACTCGTAGTAGAAACAATGGTAAAGAATAAGATAAACCTTTAAATCAACGAATCCTGAACATGACAACACTCTATTCTAGAATTTGATAATGATAATTTAAAGTAAAATAAAGATGAATTCTATCGAGATAAACATTATTCTAATCATAAGCTTTTATCTTCTAAATTGACCCTTTCATTAATTATTTCCCCAAGGCCTGCAATTTATCCTCCAACTGGACTCTCTACATTGGACAATTTGATCATAGCAATTGGCCAAACCAAAATCTTCTTCCTCCTGTTGAAGAGTTCTATTTATTATTATTATTAGTAATTTGTATCAAGTGTTCATGAAATGTGAAAGCCTAAAACCCATGTTGGGCTCTGGTGGGCTAAGATTCTATGGCCTCCACAGGCCATCTGCCTTGTAATGGATCGAGGATGAAGGAATTGACTTTGTCTTAAAGTTGTCCAAAATCTAATTGGGTAAGTTACAGGAATTAAAAGATGTGTTTCCCGGATATTGGTAAATCTAAATAACCCTTTATTTTAAGAATAGTACGACACTTATACAAATTTTTTCTTACAGATTATAATTAGATAAATTAATATAAAAAATCAATTTAATAAATACAAAATAAATGATAGTAAAACCATATAGTAATTCAAGAATAATGCCAAGTCATTTTATAAGTCTTATAAACTCAATGATCAGTTGTTTAAAAATGGTGAATTGTTGTAGCCTTTTTTCAACATAAACATCTATTTAATTACCTAATTTGCATATGTATTTTAATTCTACTAAATACCGATAAAAATCAAGATTAAGAGAAAATCTTAATTCATAAATTCTACAAGAAGGAGCAATAATACATTAAACAAGAACTTGTCAAACTGAAAACATAAAACATAAAGTTCATTTACAAGCGTCAGAATGAGAATCACACCCAGTCCTGTAAATTTTACAAAAGACTACGTATAACAGCAAACTCAAAGCACTCCCCAAAGCTAGAACCCAATAGAATTTATCCAGTCGAGCTTCTCTCATATCATCCGAAAACCAGCTGTGTCCACCGCTTGAACTTGACAAAACTTCAATGATTGAGATCAATAACGCACTCATGAAACTCCCCACCCCAAAAACACTCGTATATAAAGCAAACGCCATTGTTCTCATTCTCACTGGCACTTCATTATAGAAGAACTCTTGCATTCCCACCACTGTAAAAATGTCTGAAATTCCTAATAAAATGTACTGAGGCAACAACCAGAAAATACTCAGCGGCACCATTTCGGATTCAGACATTTTTCCCATTTGCTTGCTCAATTCTAGCCTCTTTGTTTCCACAATTGCGGCTATGGTCATTGCTATAATGGACAGAAACATCCCGACTCCCATTCTCTGCATTACGTTGATACCTTTTTCATTTCGGGTGATCATCTGTGTGAATGGAATCAAAACCGTGTCGTATAATGGCATAAGAAGTATTATTGAGACTGTGATTGTGCTTTGAAGTGTCGCCGGTGGGATCTTGAATTTGCTACCGATGTTTCTCTCCATTGTCATGCCTTGTTTAGTGAAAAATGTAGGGGGTTGTTGGAAGATTACCGCAAACATGAGCAGCATTATCCATATGGGCAAAAGTCGCAGTACAACTTTTGCATTTTGGAGAAGATGGGTGCCGTTTGTGGGATTCTCACGCTCAACCAAGTCCTTATTGCTGCCCAAATTTTGAGGACAAAGAGGCTTCTCCTGAAGCCTGTCATGCAGGGAAGTAGAGTTTATTATCAGAACTCATGGACAGTTTTACAAAAGTTATTGATAAAAGAATGTATACTTACTCTAGCTCCACCGCATCAGGTTTCTCCATCGCCAAGGCGGTTTCGCAACCCATCACTTTTGATGCAGCTGCTTTAATAGCTTGAATGATGTTGAGAAAAGGCTTACCTTGTATATATTCCTTTGATTTTTTTCCACACATCCGACCTCCAAATGATAAAAATACCATTGATGTAACCATGGCAACTGTGGGGATGGCAAATCCCAATACCCAGCCAAAGGTGTCTTGAATGTAGGACATGACTGTGACACCCAAAAGGCTGCCGCTGCAGACTCCGAAATACCACCATTTGAAGAAAAAACTCTTGATGCTTGACTTCTGATCATCTTTGCTGGTGGGCAATTCTTCATCACCATTATCTAGTTGGTCTGCTCCCAATGCTTGCAAAGATGGATTGTATCCACCTTGGCCTAGCGAAATTAGACAGAGGGACCAGAAGAGAAAGGAAGAAGAGCTCGTGCTATTTGTAGGGGACCATGCCCAAGTAAATGCTGTAGATGTCAATGCCACAAGCCCCTAGAAAGAATGTGAAATTAAAAAATTATGAGTAGAACTATCAACTTAAACGAGACATTAACGTCACTGTTCAAGTAATTTTCTTTTTAAATTCAACTGAGTTCTTTTCTTTTAAAGAGTATATTCCGCAAAAGTTATGGTATAGATGATTGGTACCTCGTGGTGTTCTAGATTTTTCCATATATTCCTCAAAATCTGAAATTCCAACTTATATAGGAAGGAGTTGTATAAAACGCAAAATCTTGAACTCTTTTGCCAAATCTTTCTTTGAAGAATTGAATGAATCATCCCACTCAAGTTAATTAAATGAGAAAGCAAATGACTGTTCATGCCATGCGTTTGACATAATTGAACAAACAACAGACCACACGATGAATCATCCCACTCAAGTTTTTCCAAAGTAGGTATGTTACTGGCTATGATCATATTCCTTGTGAGTAACTGGCAATATTAGATTATCTATAATTGTCTATAAGAAATTAAAAATATATGTGTATAAAGATATATGGTATAACCTTATCTCCATTTTGCATCATCGCTATATATAAATAGCTATTCCAATATCGATCATAAAGATGAAAAAGTTATTAGGCTATATATGTATAAATGACTATTCCAATATCATAAAGATGAAGAATTTATTATATACGATAGCGGTGTGAAGTTGGCTAAGTTACTAGCTAGGTGAGTTTCCAAATTTTCTTGTAAAGGATGGTAATGGTTAAAAGGTTATCATCCACACCTGCCGAAAATTTGAGAAAGAAACAAGTAGAAGGAGAGCCAACAAAAACATCAAAAGGTATTAATAATTCGTGAAAAACACACGACGAATGTTGTATTTAAAGGAAAAAAATAAAAATATCATTTTTTTTGTCTATAACAAGTGTTATTAAAATTACCTCAAAAAAATATAAGACTCGACAAAGCACTACTTACTTAAAGTCATTAAAATCAAAGTGAGTGTAACTTAGCGACAAATTTTAACCTCATAGTCATCGTAGTCCCTTAAAATTTCAATTTAGTGGAGTGTGGGACATAACAAGATAGTGTGGTTGTACATAGCGACATTAATAGTCGGAAAATCCTAGCCAGAATCGTTAATTTAAAGAAATATTTCTGATTGATCCTCCAAGACTTGACCACTAAATTTTGCCGGGCACTCAAACTAACATTTCTTGAAAGGATGTTATTGATCAATGACTAGACTTACTCTATAAGAAGATTGCCATTAATTAATAAAAAAAAAGGTACCCCACCAACCCATGCATCGTATTTAAAATATAGAAACCAGAAAAATGACTTACTATTAGTGAGAAATATTTTAATATAGATGCATGATAACTTTAAAAATATGCAGCAATTCCCAAAAAAAATGAAGTACTCACCACAACATAGATGAAAGAGAAGGCAAGTATGGTGGAGTATCGATCCCAATAAGAGTCAGCAAGGGGTGCTACAAGCAACGGCAGCATGGATGTGAAACCACACCAACTGTTAACAGTCTTGGCTGCAGAAGAGTTGCTCATTTTCACAACATCTGTGAGATAAGTTACGAGATTTGATGCTACCCCTTTGAATGCAAACCTCTCTTTACCAGCAATCACTATAAATACATCAACACAGAAACATAAATTTCTATTCAGAACTCTTCAACCAAGACATGTATTAGTGAAGATAGAGAGCAGAATTATTACCTATAAGCATGATACATGATTTGCTGAGCCCTTTGTGTCTGTGTTCTCCAGCCATTAGAAAGAAATACCAAATAATGGGAAAAGAGATAAGTTTGAGATTATAGATAGAGAGAGAAGAGTAAGCAGAAATTATATGAGCTTATGATGTTGCCTCAGCCATCACAATCTCGTATTGTTATTCACAACAAAGTATCAGCCACCTCCAACAACAAAAAATTCCTCTCAACTTTGATTATTGGATCCTTTTCCTTTTAAAAGATTTGGATTTTGTGTCTTAATGGAGCACTAGACAACTCCTAAAGCTATTTTTTTCCCAATGTAACTTGTATTATTTAAGACGAAAAAGTAAAAAGGCCACGCACTCTCATCAGTTGGAAATGTTGTCACGGAGATGTTACCGAGGGAAGAGTGAGTGTCGCATGCATGGAGCTTTAATATGTCAGTTTGAGATATATATCTCATACGCGTCACTTATATAGTTGACATGTAGCATCTTTTGACACGCTGGAGGACCACGTAATCCCTCTGAAAGATTCCCCGGGTAAGAAAAATTTAAGAGTTAAATGGTATTTTTTTGGATTAAATATATGTTATATTATATATACATATAATATTTATCCCCTAGTACATGATATATATATATGTATACCCTAATCATTCAATCAGAGAATCTGTCAGTGAGACAAACTGTATTACATATATATACTTGAAAAATATTGGATAACAATGATTAGGAAAGGTAAATGAATAAATTTATCAGACATACGGTAGCATATTCTCTAATATATAAATTACAATGAATTAATATTTCAAACCTGCAATGTTTATATGCAATTCAAGTGCATAATTGTATAAGGGTTTAGCTAAAAAAACAACTTCTCAAACTATAAAATACAAATGATAATGATATGGTACTAGCAAATTAGTACTACGTACAGTCAACTTGTTTCAGATCATGCATGATTCATGAGGTTGTTTGTACTACAATCAATTAGGAGTAGAGATGACTGATGTGGATTATTTTCTCTATGATATAAAGATTGTCGTTTCATCCACTACAAATTATAACAGATGAGGAAACATAGACCTGGGCATAAAGCTAGAGCGTTTCTTGGCTTTATTTTGCGTAACGTTTGAGGACTACTTTAACTATAGGACATAAAATATCAGAATACGTTACGTTACAGTAAGCTAAGAATGGCACGCAGTTAACTGTTACAACGCACAAGCAAGCGCACAACATACACACATGTAAAGAAGAACACAATCAAACTCAAATATCGAAGTGGTAGCTGACGAGGATTGTCTTTCATAAAGAAGATGGTTACTTGTAATTGCCATTTCTCTGCTATGTAGTTTCTATAAAGTCTAGTGACGACTAACCCTTATCACTTATCGGTTTAATTAGTGGTTAGTGATATGGATATCACTTTCTTTAGTTTTATTATCACCACTACAACAACAGGACGGAAAAATATATGGCTACCCAGAAGAATGGCAAACCCATTTCCTTTAATTATTGTGCCACCAAAAGGCATTTATTCCTTCTGCTTACGTATTGCTTGTGATTGATATAGTCCTATCAAATAGCTACAAAACTGTAAAGTGAAATAGATGGTAGTGTTTCTTGACGTTGATATTGATATGTGTTTTTATATCTTTTGTCTAAGGAATCATTCAAACTGTCCCTATGTTATTCGCTCTATAATATTTGATACATGGTAACACAAGTGCAAAAATGATTCATCGAATTTATCTACATGAAACCCCAAAATTCTATTGGTATTTACTTTCTGTCAATCTTAAAAGCATATGTTCTTATCTGTTCGGTTAAAAGATTGTTGCCTGAATATTATCTGCCAATCCTAAAAGCATAGGTTCTAATCTTATCTTATTGCCTTTAATTCATAACCTAATATTCCTCTTTTCAATTGTATATCCTTTCAAGATGTAACTCCCACTCAATCCTTTCAAGATGTGCACTCGATTAAAAAAAAATAATAATAATAATAACTTAAACGAAGAGTTATATAGAAAAAGTTAAACTATCCCAAAATTGATCTCTTCTTAACACTAGAAAGGAAAATCCACTCCTATTATTGTTTCTGTTAATTGGTTTTGATATCAATAGAAACAACCAATTGACAGCCAGATTCGCGTGACACAAGTTAGCAAGATGTCATTTCAACATTAAGACTTCAATTAGGTCTGGTTTTGATAGTTATGGTCAAGTTGATTAACGTGTACTATCTTCAAAACTCTCCTAACCTAAAATTGATCAGTGCGATGAAAAATTTAAAGAATTATGTTAAAAAATGACAAACAGCGCTAATCAAGTACGTACCTCATATGAATTTGTTAGCATCCTCGAAAATAACATCAAGAAATTTCAGCTCCATTAATGGTGGAAGATGTGACTAGCCAGATTTGTTAAGAGCTGTATTAGAATATATTCTTTGTTTGCATTTGAAAACTCAATGAATATATAATATATTAAATGAGACGGGATCTGAAGTTGGAATAACAGAATTTTGTGGAGTACCTTTATTTAGCATTAGCAAGACGATTGCGTTTTGGAAAGTTTCAAACTTACGGTTTAATATGAATTCGTATCATTTTCAAAAAGTAATTATATTTTTATTTTCTTTTAAAAGAAATTTGGCGCTTTAATTGCTTCTGCCTTCCTATAATGGTGGTATGCTGGAATCTGAATCTCCTTTACGAGCCACAAAACATAACGAACAAAAATGGGAGCGCGAATGATGTGAACATTGTGAAGGTAGAACAATTTTTTAGATGCATTCGGATTAGGTCAGTGTAATCTTTGGGTTATAATTCCGAGTTTATTCTTTGGATTATAATTCCAAGAATTAATTCCCAATAAGTAAAGCGAGAATATTGTATAAGGAGAGTGAATTCCATAGAATAAAGTGAGAATAGTTTTGGATTTGGATTGTTTTAGATTATCTATAAAACTGTTTCTTGTTTGTTGTTGTGCTATAAAATGTTAGTATAGGACTAACTATGAATATATATTAACAATTTATCATATTTTTTTTTATTTGAATATAAATTGACTTATAATTGAATTTTTATAGTTAATTATTATGAATTAACAATATTTTAGCTTTTATTTTTTAATTAAATTTACAAAATAATGCTACAAATAAAATAAAAATATATTTATTTACATTAAAATAAGTATCTCAGGGTTAATTTTTGGATGCTAATTCCTTAGAAAGCCATCAAATAGAGGGCCTGGGATATCATTTAGAAAGTTCATTCTTCAGTATCCAAATCGAGGCCATAAAATTTTGTAGGAGGTTATATATAATTTCATTAATACAACATTGATGTGTTGGTTCTGTAACATGTAATACGTAGCAAGTGCACTAGTTACAAAAAGTAATAAAGTGATAAGTATAATATCATTCTCACGAAGATAGTGTTACTAAGTATCAATTTCTCTAGTTTAAGTCCTAACTGAAGCAACAATAAATTGGATTGATGGAAAATTAACAACTAAATACAAATTAACAAAATATAAATGAATGATAATGAAATTAAAGCAAAACCCAACAACTTAACTAATTAAACAATGCTAAAAAAATGCTAGGGTGTTGATTGCACCTAGATACGCTAACTCAAATCATAGAATCTATTACCCAAGTTCTAATTCTTTGATTGAAAATCGAATTCCCTAAGTTGTAAAACATACTTTCTCAGGCTATATTTTCCTATGTATCCCTATTAAGCTTCCGCATCCAACAAAATAAAGATTAATAGTTCAAAGTTTTTTAAGCTTTATGGAATTCTATCTAGATTTCATAGATCGCGTTTATCTATCTCTAGTTTTCGCTCAATCTATAGTATTTATCCCAAGAGGCACAATCACAAATCACTTCTCAGTCTCATTGTGAACAACATATATTTGAATGGTGATCAAACATCCAAAAGTCATTAAGCAAAGAGATAAACACTTAATTATGAAATTAAAACTCAAAGTAATTCAAAATATATAAATTTGAATCATTGAATCAAGTTTACATCAAACCCTAGCTAAACAACTCAGTTCATACTCAAAAACAAAATAAAATAACAAAAACAAACTGAATCAAGGTTGTCATTGAAAAACAAGCAAATGATGGAGAAATCTTCTCTAATTTGAAGCCCACATTTTCAATAATCTTCTTCTTCCAAGAGCTGCTTTCCAAATGACGAACCAAAACCTTTTTTCCTTCCTTTTCGTGCTAATTTATACCTCTTTCACTTAAGAACGAAGCCCTAGCAAGCCAAAATGTGTCATTTTATTTTTCACATCTGACGCAGTTTCGCCGCGGTGAATATTATTCTTTGCCGCAGTAAGGATCTTTCGAGCTAAATTTGAGCATGCTAGATTCTGAATCTGGAAAAGTGGTAAACATATGAATTGTAGCCCTTTCAATTATCTTTCTGTTCGTTCAAGAATCAACTAGATCAAAGGTCTAAATCGAATGTTATGGCCAAACTACTGAATCACATCCAAAGACATTTTTCTTCATATCCTAACACACTATTCATGACTTCAAGCCAAGTTTTCACCCTCGTCCAGTCAGAATTAGGAAAAACCCAAAACATGAAAGTTGTAGCTCTGCTTCTTAGCTTTCCAAAGCTTCTAAATTTAGGTCATTCCAAGTTTCCAAGCTCAAGTTACGCAATTTACGTTCAAAACTGTCATTTATGCTCAAAATCATAGTTTAGGCCTGCAAAGAAGAATTAATAGAATTAGGTAGCAATTATGGCCCAAATTGTATTAAAAGTATCCTAAATCCTATTGAAATTCAATGCAAAATCATAGGGAAAAATAGGATTATCAAACACATATACACTCCAAAAGTTATTTTAAAATTCTCAAGCTAAGTAATGTACAATTTTATGTGGTATTGTAATGTAAATAAAAAAAAGATTTGCTAAATGATATGACATACTATATAAGAGACTAAATAAGATGAGTAATGCTATACTTACATCATTCTTTTACACAATTTTCATTACATCATGATGTGGCATATGTAACAACCACATAAATTTTTAATTATTTTAAATTTTTAATATTATAATAGAATTTGTATGGTTGTAGCATATGCCACATCATGATATTTACAAAATAGTGTAAAAAAATAGTGTAAGTGCAGCATGAGAGTTTTAAGATGTATAATACTAATAAAATACTCACTCCGTTTCGATATAATTGTCGTTTTAAGCTTCTGCACAGTTTTTAATGAATCAATTTTATCTCTTTTCAATTTGACTTTTACCATTGATATTGCAGGTGAGAAAATTTTGTTTTTCCGGCTGCACAAATAAGCAAAATATTGAAATAACTTTATATATATAGTAATGCTACATCAACTAATTTTCTCACTAACCCTTACATACCAATTGACATGGCAGCTGATATGGATGATGTCACATCATCAACCAAATCACCACCTTACCACGTCAGTTCCCTCAAAAACCGAAACAAAATTTCAAGCTCCCTCCTTCCCGTAAATAAAAATCTGTCCTAAAATTTAAACCATAAAATTCAAATTTCACTCCTTCCCCTGAATCAAATCTCTTTCCCAAAATCAAATTCGAACCCAAATTTTATTTCAAAATAACAAGCCGAAACGACCACCACCAATTTGTTCTCTTCCACCCCCAACGCCGTCAGTCCTCTACCACCATCGTCGTCTATCGTCTTCCCCCACCACCACTCTATCCTTTACAAAACCACAAGTTTCTTCTCCTTCTGCCTTTTCCTTTTTATTTTCTCCTTGAGAACAGGGCTGTTGTTAATGGCAAATGCTAGACCAAACACCAATGTGCATTGACTGGTTTTGTCTACATTTCTTTGGGATTTCTCAAACTCATATCTATGCTTTTTCTTTTCTTCACAGGTTAAATGGCCACCACGTAGTCTTTGGCAAGGTGCTTTCGGGGATGCATGTTGTCTGCAAGATTGAAGCTGAACGAAGACAGAGTAGGGAGCCTACAAGTAAAGTTGTTATATTAGATAGTGGTGAAATGCCTTTGTGGTTATTGTAAGGTGATTAATATACATATGTTGTGTATGAAACTTTGGTGTCTATGCTTTGATGTTAATGATTTTGTAAAGTATTAATTGTTATTGTGAATGGGTTTTGTCTTGTGGCAGAGATGAACCCAGATTTGCAGTTTCTTCTAGTGAATTATGAGGAGCACAAATCCATGTGTTATAGTCTTAATGTTCATGTGCTGCCATTTTTCTAGTTTAACGGAGGAACGACTGTGCAACTTTAACTATTTAAGATATGTTTTTGTCTTCCAATTATCATGTGAAGACCAGTAGTGAATTGGGAATGATTATTGAATGAATAATCAAACTACTTGAGAGCTTAATTTTTTAGAAAATGTATTAACTTTTGAGAAGTTGAGTGTTGGTGCTTTTTGATATAAAATAGTGAAGCACGTTCAATTATTAAAACCTTTAGGATTTGTGACTCCTTTTGTTTTTATCCATGGACTCATTGCATGCACTTCTGTCAATATTCTTACATGAATTTGCAACTAGCATATCAAATATCTTTCTGCATTTGTAAGAACATGCTTGGGCTAAGTACTTGATCATGATAGTTATATTCATGGATGTGCTAGAGTCAGGCTCATTATTGTTATAATCTCCTGAAAATTTGTGTGTTATTGTATGATAAGCTTGAGTACTTGCTTATATTCATACTACCAACAGGAACGGCGATGTCTAATAGTCATACCATGTATTATGATCTTTCCTTTTTTTTTTGGCTGCTGTCTTTGCAATCTAGAACACAAACTCTTTGTAGGTATGCTGACAAAGAATGTTTCTGAAGCTAAAGTTTCTGCTCTGTTCTCCAAATATTTTCGTCCAATCATCAAAAAGAAATTTGTCCCCGGGGAATGACAGGTCAAACTTTTTAATAGGCTTCCTTGTTATCAAAACTACCAATCTCTGAATTGCGGGAATACTCTAAATCGGTCTGCATTCTGTAGGATATGACGATCACAGTCTACGGTAGCACCCGCAACTTCTTAGGGAGGCTTGGAATTTTTGTTATGATTGTGGCATTTATCTTTAGTGCTCTTACTTCTTGTTAGATGCTTTGTACACGTACATGCTTAAATGTAACTGATTGAACCAGCATGTGTAATATGATGATAATTAGTAAAATTCGGCATCATTCCACAATATCCAATTGTTGTTTTTCATTTTAATTGATTGAGATAATAGTATTATATGATGGCATTGCCCTGTTATCCACATGACTCAGCATGAAACAGATAAGAAGCACATATTTGCTGTCATTTCACCTAGTTTAAAGATACAGTGATCCATACTTGCTTCTAAAACATTAGAGATGTTTGTAAGAATTGGAAATGCTTGTTTATGGAACCACTAATCAATAATGACTCTCCAAATCAAAGTGTACCAAGATACATTACATAGGCTGCAGTGTTTTCCATGTTTTTTACTCTCATTTCCTGAATTTCGTAGAAAAGCATAAAACACAAATAAAGTGTTTAGAGGCAAGAACTAGAAGCAATTAATGAGATCATATAACCATTCACAATACTACATTGAATCTATGGCAATCAGAGTTACATATAACAAATTTTACAAACTTTAACCTTCTTATCAATTATTTTAAGATTTAAATATCTCATCTCTCGTTTCTTCACTGCTTCTTGGAGTGCAGCCTTTTGATAAGCCTTTTAGATTAACATCATTCGTCTTAATAGTTGAAAGCACCTAGTCCAGTGCCAAAGCCTACAACAATAAAGATTATGAAATCAAATGAGCAAATAATTATTTAGTTTTTTCTATAATTATTTACCCCAAAGCCAACTCCTCAATCATTTTGATACATGATTTTTATATTACAAAATGAGTTTCATGGGAAAAAAAATAGGGTGTAAAATGAAAGAAACCTAAAGAATCGTAAGCACCTGGAGTTGTTGCCCTTCAGTTGTTGAAGACGAGCATCCAACTTCCTGTAAGTCAAGTTTGTTTGATTCCTATGCAAGATACAACAACTCAACCCCACTTTCGTAGAATTCACATGTAAACATCAACTTAAATAAAGAAACAAAAATAAATTACTTACCTGAGTTGCTTGATTAAATCCAATTCTACGACGAGGATTCGAAGTCATAGCAATTGCTTGTTTTTGCAATTTTTTCTCTTTTACTTTACGCACAATTTGTTCAAATTTTGATTGCTTTCGTTTGAATGGAGGATGACCCTTGCTGCAAACAACCCGTGGAGTAAGAATATTACTACTCCCCTCTCTAGAAGTACCAGCAACAACTTCACTGTTCGTTCTATTATTGGCTGACATATTTAGTCTTGTTCTTCATATCATTGATCATTTCTATCACCATATTACAATCATCCTCAGTGTTTGATGCCAAATCTACTATAGTGCTGAATAAATTAGATAACTTATCAAATCGTTGTCTTTGAACATTAGTGCTCCAACTATTATAATTAATCTTAACCTTTGTATGACATCTATTTATATTCTTCCTCCATTGCCTTAAAATGTATTTTTTTGGTGCATGAGAAATTTTCTTATGAATCAACCCTGTAATTGCATGTCGACATAAAATTCATCTAAACTCAAATAGTCGACAATAGCAACGAACATCACAATTTGCTTCATTAAAGCAAACCACAAAAGGAACACTATGGTGAGTCTCTCCAACCATCATCTTTTCTTCTACTATAAACTCCATATAGGAATCAATCTCTTTGGAAGACGATAATTCACAATAGAGCTTAGCAGCAAGCTCTTGTTGAAACTCTTTGAATTTTGCAATGTTATAGGCATCTTGAAATTGTTTCTCAATAGCATAAGTGCTTATGCAAGGGATCCATGATCTGAAAGATTTAAAATCAGCCTCCTTTTCTTTTTCCACTTTATCACGCAATGCATTCTCATATTGTTCAACAAACTGTTTTAAAGTGGTTTTTGAATTAACATATCCATCGAAGAATGCATGCATACTTTTACTGCGTTGAGTAGTAGACATACCTGCCCAAAAAGTATCTCTCACAAATGCTGGCACCCAACGTTGTCTTTCATTATACAATCCAAGTAACCACTGATTGTCATGAAGGTTTTGTTTATCAATGAACCTATTCCAACGTTCTTCAAAATCTTCATGTGTCAATGAATCATACACAATATTTTGCAAGGAAAACTTAATATATTCATATCCACTATATCTTCTTAACTTTTCAGGCAATTTCTTCATTATATGCCACAAACACCATCCATGATGTGTATTAGGGAACACAATCTCGATTGCATTTTGCATTTCCTTATCTTAATCAGTGATTACTGCCTTAGGAGCACAATTCAACATACATGCAAGCCAAGATTGAAAAGCCATACAAATGTCTTTGTGTCCTCATTGGAGATTAACCCATAACCAAATAGTGTTGAATGACCATGATGATCAACACCAACAAATTCACCAAACGGCATATCATACTTGTTGGTCAAATATGTAGTGTCAAATGTCACAACATCACCGAATTCTTGAAATGCGGCCCTACTTCTTGCATCTACCCATAAAACATTTTTCAATCGATCCTCTTCATCTAAATCCATTGTGTAGAAGAAATTTGAATTCTCATTTTGCATTTTCAAAAAATATTTTTGCATTGTGGAAGCATCTCTAGCACTAAGTCGTAGCCTTCTAACTTTTTCAATATAGTTCCTACAATCTTTTTGTAGGAAAGACAAATTCTCACCACCGCCAGCTTCTATTAACAAGGAGTTGAAATTTTTATTAGGTCTAAGCCCAGCCCTATCATTCACTTCAAGCTTCCTTTTCACGCATGGTTGTAGTATTCGATTACTCTTGAAAAATCTAGTTTTGTCAGGGCTACTCAGTTCATGGTTATGATCAAATACAATTGAACATATTTGCCATTTTCCATCAGAACGTACGGATGCATTAACCCGAGCCTTACAATTCGTTTTTGTCACTGCAGGCATTTTAAAGGCATTTCTGGACATACTGCTTGACTTTCCACTACAAGAACAAGCTAGTGTTGCGTTTTTCATCTCTCCATCATCTCCTTTCTTTGAAGATCTTTAAAAGCTTCAAAACCCATTTTATTTGCATAGCTTTTATAGTGTTGTAGAAGAATATCAAATGAATAAAAAAAAATTCCAGGCTTAGGTTCCCCTTCCTCTTCAGCACTGTTTCTATTTTCTACTTCGAAATGATTGTCCTAATTTATAATAGCTAGAATTAGAATATAATAATGCAACAAAAAAGTGTAGAAACAATACCATAACAAAATTTTAAATCATATTATTGCATAAAAAGAGATTTCAAACAAATATTTACCTCCACAAATTGGGAAGAAGAGTTATCTGATTCTTTAAGATTGAACTCTTCCATGTTTGGTACTATGATGCAACACGATTACTATTGCTGTAAGGGGACCAGTCAAATAGGAATGGTTAATATCCACAATGACCAGATAATGAACCATTATTACTTTCAAACAAACAAAAGTAAAATTTCAGAAATAACTTCCAGAATATTGTTATGATAACAACAACAGCTGCAACATAAGTTAAACAAACACAATATAATGTATTATGGAAAACGTAGATCCAGAAACAAAATTGTTCACCACCACCTTGGAAAAAATCATATGTGCCGCAATATGCTGAAAAGAACCAAAGCATAATTATACATTAGACTTGCTTGTCCTATCAATTTGACTTAAAAAATTAACTTAATTATGTCAATAAGTACTTTGTGTTATATTAATTAATTACAGTCTATTCTTGAGTTAATTATCTTATTATTCATTAAGGAATCAAACTAACCTTTATGAAAAGTTTTTAACTCAACTTGCGGTTCATTATCTTTTACATGAAAACTGGTTTATCTCATAATCTCACATGCTACAAAATGACAGCAAATATATAATTGAAAAATGAAAGATGGAGCATGAGGGCTTTATGAGAAAAGAGAGAGAGGACATTTTTTTTTAAGTCTTGATGGGTCCTTTTTGTTTAATCACCTTTCATGGTAAATTAGCTTATACCTGGAGGAAGAGACTGCTTCAACTTGTCAGGCTTTAGTTACATCAAACACACAAACTGTGTAAAGTTACTTGGAGCAGCGAACCTTAAACTTAACCACACCCCTGCTCCTCTAGATTTTAATAGAACGAGCATCCTTCCTTCTTGCAGTAAGAAGGAACACCCATTTTATCTCGTGAATTTGCTTTGGCTATGGATCAAAAAGCAGGTTTTAATGACCTCGGGCATTCTCAACCATTTACATACAAAAGAAACGCTATGACACAATGATAAAAACATAGGACTGAAATAATCTACAAACACACTAAAATCATGTTTTCTGAGAACATTTGTCAAGTACATCTTTTAAACAAATACTTACACAATCAGTTTAACTGCAAGTGCAACTTCAACCACTGTAGTCAAAGACATGAATCACTATGACACTATAACTTTGGATACATATATCGACAAAGCTAACCTGAGATAAACACATATTTAATATACTATAGAAATCTAACCCAAATATTGATTTTTTGCCAAATATTTTCGCAACATATGAGCAAAGAGCATAAATGTAGCACAACCTCATAACATCCCTATACGGTTCTGGCGAGACGTGGCGGCATCTGCTAAGTTTTGGAAACCAGGCGTGGTGGTGTCCGGCGAGGAAACTAGGTTCGGGTTGTTTTGGTGAGGCGTGGAGAACAATGGTTTTGGCGTGCAATGGAAGAAATTTTCTGTTTTGGTTTTTAAGGGAACTGACGTGGTAAGGTGGTGATTTGGTTGATGATGTGACATCATCCACATCAGCTACCATGTCAATTGGTATGGGAGGGTTAATGAGAGAATTAGTTGATGTAGCATTACTGCATATATATTATCATTTTCTCTCTTCTATTGACTTACTTCCAGTTCTTTTATTCTGTTCGTCTTCATCACTTACTTTTCTTTTACTCTTTTAGTCACTCATTTCCATTTCTTTTATTCTGTTTGTCCCTCACCATGACTATCTCTTTTTACTGACTTTCATCTCTTTGATTCTGTTCGTCACTCACCATGGCTGAACAATGTAATATTAGAGGTGTGCTTGGGGAAATTGATTTGAATGTTCTTCCAACATTAGAAGCTACAAATGAAGTTGATGACATAACTAAGGAAGTTAATACACATGTGAGCTGAAAAAACCTCACAAATGAACAAAGGCAAGCAATTTTTGAATCTCTGTTGAAGCGAAGTGTTAATGGACAATTGAAGAAAAACATTACATCTGAGGTGGCTCAATTATTTTCAGTTAGTATGCATACAATCCAACGCATTTGGCAACGAGGAAAAGAAAATGAAGTATTGGATTCTAACACTAATGTGTCTAGTAGAAAGGCACTCAATTGCGGGCGCAAACGTCATGTTTATGGTTGCAGTGACACGCCCAAGGTTTGGTGAATCAAGGAATGAATTATTTTCTGGAAAAATCGGGATATTTCCTTTCATAAATAAAGAACCTGCAATGAGGAGTAGTAAAAATCATTCTGCCGTAACCATGGAGACTAAAACAATCAATTCTATCAATAAAGAAATTTATCGATCTTACATAGTTGAGAAACTCTTGCCGGCTATCAGAGATAAGTGGCCAAGAATTGATGCAGGAAGTCCAATATTTATCTAACAAGACAATGCGAAACCTCATACTGGTTTGGATGATGAGTATTTTCAAAGTAATGCTACTAAGGATGGCTTCGACATATGTTTGATCTGTCAGCCTCCGAATTCTCCAGATATGAATGTTCTAGACCTTTGTTTTTTTAATGCGATACAGGGACTACAATACCAACAGGCACCCAACTCTTTAGATGCGCTCATAGAGGCTGTTCAGAAGTCATTTGATGAATACTTGCCAACAAAATTGAATCATACGTTTTTAACTTTACAGTCATGTATGATTTCAATTTTGAAAGCCAGAGGTTCGAACAAATATAAGGTTCCACACATGAAAAAACATAGGTTGGAGAGACAAAATTACCTTCCTAGGCAATTAAATGTTGACCCCGCGTTAATTGGAGAAGCAATTACTCAATGTCAATAAGTGTTACAATTGACCTATCTAGTATTGTAGACTATTTTTGTTTTGTCTATGATGTTCATATGGTTATGATAAGATATTGTCTTTTAGGAGTAGTTTGTGTTTCATTTTGATTTTTTTTTTTTTTTTTTTGCTATAAAGAAATTCTATTCCAACGTACAAGAAAAGAACTTGTTCTATTTTGTAATATAAGCTTTTATTATGGTAATATATAAGAATAAGTCCAAACCAAAGGACCCTACAAAGTCACGGTCCTTGAACAAGCCCAAGAAAAAAAAAAAAAAAAGGATTAAAGTCCTAACAAAACATGTAGTTAGTCTAAGAAATACTAGACAAAAAAGGTCAGCAGTTAAAAAAGCAGGCCATCTAGGCACAAAGCAAACTGCACAATCTATATATAAAGGTTCACAGCCAAAAAGTCTTAAAACTCCAACCACCCTCAAGGAAATCCAGTAAAAGCTTCAATCCCCAACTAAAAGAAAAACCAAGACTAAACAAAACAAAACTCCTACAAAGCACAAACCCAAGGAAAGAAGAAAAAAAGCAGCACCTCCTGGCAAGAATGGAAACTCCAACAAAGAAGGTTTTGTAAACAAATCCATGACCTGCAACTTGGGGCAGCCACATGCCCTTCTCAACACCAAAGGCCCCGTAGCATAGGCTAAAACAAAACATAGGCAAAAGTCACAAAAATTGAGCCAAAACCCAAATAAAAAGTAGCAACCGACTGAGAAAAATTGAAACACCTGAAACACCCAACAATCACTCTCACCAAGAAGTACAAGGCCCGATCATCTCCTGGCGGCCATGCGAGCCATAACATCAGCGAACATATCCACACTAACAGGCAATTTATAAACTTCGACATATGTAAAGGAATCAAGCAAATCACCCAATACACATTTTTTTCATCATTCCTATTAAGGTTGTCAATTAGTTCTTGAGAGTAGGACAAACATTGGACTTCTTTAACACCATTTTCATGAGCAACACACAGTCCATGATATAAGGCAAGATATTTTTTATGTAGTGTGTTAGAAGCTGACACATACTATTCTAGTAAAGTCAAATTTCCACAGCGCGTATCATGCATTACAATGCCCACTACTGATTTTTCCTGGTTATTCCAAACTCTAGAAATTTCAATTTTGACAATCGGTCTTGATGCACCTTCTACATTGTTTTTTGCAACATGTACTATATAAGAGAAAATTTTGTAACTAATTAACTGAATTGATGAAAGCAAAAAAAAAAAAAGTGTATTGACATCAACCAAAGAAAAAATCAAATAAAACCTCCACTGTTGACATCCACCATTCTAGATTGATTTGCAATGCTTGTACTGCCTTCAGTGTCAATTAATTTGGCCTCATTGTTGATGCTATGATTATCTTCAAAACCTAATCATTCATAAATTAAAGAGTTAAATGAGTTATGCAACAATGTACCATTATCACTTTTAAGAATAAATAACCTTAAGAAAACACAAAAAAAGCCACTTACATGATAAAGGCACCCATATCCTCTTTTGTTCTAATTCTTCATTCAAAAGTTTATGACTCATAATCTCCACTGCATTTACAGCCTGATGTATTTACAGAACCTCAATTTGTAGAACACAATAATGCAACAACATCAACCATAACATTTTTTTCTTTATCGCACACATTTTACTTCATAAACAAAGAAAGCACAAAACAGTGGCGGCAATGCAATTAAATGCTATCAAAGCAAGGAAGACATACCTGCCACTCAACCGTCTTCCAGACTGCTAGATTGAGTAATGCCGAAGTCACAACATCAAGGTTTGACCAAATTGAGCAAGGGCAGCCACTTCACGTTTGAGAATCTCAATAACCTAAACAAAAATGCAACTTTATCTTTAAAAAAGAAAAAAGAAAAAAAAGGAGAGGCTATAGAGTACACAAGAGATCATAACATA